ACAAGGAAGTAGTTAAGATTGACGGTCAGGAAGTACAAAAAAGATCGCTCTTATGATATCTTGGGTTGATAATCTAGGAAAATGGAGAGATCGAGGAAGATGTCGCACACAAAATTAGAGCTAGACGGGTGAAGTGGAGATGTGCAACTGGAATTTTATGTGATCACCGTATACTAATGAGGCTGAAGGGCAAGTTCTATAGGACAACGGTGAGACCAACTTTGCTCTATGGGGCGGAATGTTGGGCAGACAAAAAACAATTTACTCATAGAATGAGTGTAGCAGAGATGTTGAGATGGATGAGTGACAAGATATGAAGAGATAGAATTCGAAATGAATCTATTCGGGTTAATTTAGTCATGGCACCAATAGGCGATAAAATGAGAGAGAGTAAACTTAGGTGGGCTGGCCAGGTGTGGCGCCGATCAAGTACAACACCTGTCAGGAGGTACGAGTTAGTTCAAGCGGATGGATTGAAAAGAGCAAGGAGTAGGCCCAAAAAGACGTGGTTGGAAGTAGTCCAAAAAGATATGGGGACTTATAGCCTCACTAAGAATATGGCCTTTAATAGAGCATAATAGAGAACTAGGATTGATGTAGCCAACCCCAATTAATTGGGAAAGGGCTAGAATTATGATGATGATGATGATGATGATGATGTATACATTGAGATTGTCTACAAAGAGACTACTTATCTTTTGTACGTGGCAGTCACAATTATTCCCACTCATTAGATGTCAAATTGGATGGCTTGGGTTGAGTCATGAAGTCCGAGAAATTATTTTTTGGAGCTTTGTGTCTATTCAATGACACTCTTACAGATACCCATTTTGAAATTTAAGGGACAAGAATGATTGTAACCTCCATGTACAGAAGATAAATGGTCTCTTTGTAGACAATCCCATATATATATATATATATATATGGAAAAGTATACAAAGAGATCATGTACTTTTGGCACAAGGAGGTTGCAAACACTCTCATTTGTCAGATTTCAAATCGGGTGGTTGTAAGAATGTCATTGACTAGACTCAAAGTTCAAAAATAAAAAAATTCTTGAACTTCATGACACATCCTAAGCAATCTAATTTGACATCTAATGGCTAGGAGTTATTGTGACCACCTTGTAACAAATATAAATGGTCTCATATATATTTATATGAATTTTTTTTTAAAATATTAAATATTTCAAAAAATATTTACCATTAGAGCTGTATGTATGTATGTACGTTTGTATAAATATATGCATGTGTGTTTATATATAGATATGATCGGGTTGGGTCGACCTGGACCCAGATTGGGTCGACCAACCAGGTCGTCAGGACGACCTGACCCGATTGCCACCCCTAGGTCCAGAATGGGCCATCATGTAAACTTTTGGATGGACTTTTGGATTGGACACTCTGCCCTTCAAGTTTGTCTCTATGCCCTTTTCTTCTTTGCCTGTGGTCAACAGATCATGGTGGCACAGTCCTTCGGGAGAAGAGCCTTGCAAGACCATGAGCTTGTAGAGTTCGAAATGGCATGCTTCCTTCTACAAACTACTTTCGCATGCTTCCTTCTACAAACTACTTTTTCTCCAAGGGATGGTCTTGACAAGATGGTTCATGTCCCCTCCCCATCCAGTAAGTTTACTGTCTCATCCTTCTATCACACCCTGCAGCAACACTCACCTTCCTCTCACTGGCCAAAGAATCCTGAACCTAACCCATTCCCCCTAATATAGGCTTTCGATTGGATTGCCATCTCTAAAATAGTCCTCATTGTGGACCAAATAAAAAGAAGGGACATTCCCATCCCCTAATAGGTGCGCTATGTGCACGTTAGCCGAAGAAACTAATGAACACTTTTTTCTTAGGAAAAGAGCCTGGGCTTAATTGGTTAGCGCCTGATGATTTGCATCGTTACATTCTAGTCTCAAGTCCTACAAAGGGTAGGGTTGTCTCCCCACTGACTCACCAAAAAGAAAAAACCTTTTTCTTCAATGCAAAGTGGGCTGACCTTCTATAAGTTTCCAGTGGTCTTGGTTCCTGCCACAATCTATCCCTCAACTATTCCAAGATTCTCTCCCCCATTATCGGTCAAGGGCCTATTCCTATGGCATGCTGCAGTGACAGCTAACCTATGGGTGTTGTGGATGAGAGAAACCCCAGAATTTTTGAAGAAAGGGAGACACCTACACCAGTCCTAAAAGACCGCGTCAAAGCTATGGTCATTTTCTGGGCAGAAAATGACCATAGCCTTCAAAACCTATGCCACTGCTGACTTTTACCAGTTGGGAAGCCACATTAACTGTAAGACTTTGCACTAATCACATTCCTCACTGTGGTGACTGCCAGAAGAAGGGAAACATCAAACTAAACTTTGACGGCTGCTCCCTCGGCAACCTTGATCCTGCAGGCTTCAGGTGTCTATACAGGGAGCACCTTCCTTTCCTTCTTGGGATTCATTGGACATGTCGACTCCACAACGGCTGAGACTATCTCCCTCCTCGAGGGTATCAAAAGATTCAATCCAACTTGGGGCACTGCTCTAGTGATTGATGGTGACTCTAAGAACATCCTCACCTGGCCTTGAGGTCCGCCCTATACCCATGGTGACTCGAGCACTTATTTGATCACAGAGTCATATTGTGCAGGCTTTCCATACCTTGTTTTGGCGACCAGCACAGTGGCTGACACACACCAGTGATGGTGCTGCATCAGTGAGGAATCCAGGGAACACCAAGGCAACTCAGCAAGCAGAAACTTTTGGTGTATTTCATGTCATCCCATTTTCTTTTGGTGTAGGTATATCCATTAAATGTGCCCCATACTGTGCAATGTCTGGAGCACCTGATGCATGGGACGCCATCCTTGACTCTATGTACATACAAAAGTTAACCTTATTTCCAAAAGAAAAAGAAATGATTTGACATATCACAAACCTGGTAGGACCTCTTTAACGGGGTTTGGTAGGTGTCCAGGTAACCTCGACCCTACCCTTGTGTACTTCTACTGTGAGCATGTGAGTTTGGTTATTTGTTGTACATCGGCAGAATCTACAATCAGTACAATGCTTACCCAAAATTTTAACTCAGCAAAGCTTGAAACCAGTGGTTTAAAAAACGAATCGGTGCCCCGGATCGGGTACCTCAAAAACCCATCAGGATCGGTGAATCGGTGATCCGGATCGGGAATCGGCCGAATTGGTACGATTAAACTTTAGAAAAATCCAAAAGATATATTAAAATTCATTATAAATGTTGTTTTTTAGGAATCCAATATTACATTATTAACTTTTATTTCTTTATCAATTTGCGAATATTGAGATGTTCTTTCCCTGTATGAACTTATGTTAACCATTAAATTTACAACACATAAAAAAAAAATATAGAATTATCATGGATAAATTATATAATCGTACGTAGACTACAATAAAGAATGGATTAAATCGATGAAAAAATAGCCACTAAAATCTCGAATTGGTAGAAAACCCTAATCCGTTAAAAAAAAAAACCAAATTATTACAACCTAAATAACTCTAATCCAAAATTATTACAACCTAGCTAACTATAATATTATATATTGAAATTGAAATTGTTGGTTTACATTTGATAATTATTTTATTATATAAATAATAACAAATTCAAAATATCTTATCATATCATCAAATTTAAAATGTATTATTGACAATTAGAAGAAAAATAGTACATTACATGATTTATAATGTAAATAAATTAATAAAAAAATAAAATATTTAGTTATCAATGTCGCAATTTTTAGAATGCTTATCAATTTTCAAAATAACACTTTCATTTTTCAAAAATTTAATTTTTTAGATTTCTAGAATAAATTTAGTGGAAGAGATTGTTTAGTAGAGACAGAGAGATTTCAAATAGTCTCATTGTATGAACCCTATCTTAAAATTAATATTCCTAAATTTATGTTGAAGATTACCATGTTATAAAAATAAAAATTATAATTAGATCAGTTATTCCTAGTTTGTATTAAAAAATACTTGTTGTATTAAGAAATACCTTTTATTTTTTTGACAAGAAATACTTGTATTACTTTTTTTTTTTTTTGACAAGAAAAAAAAGATGCATTTCCTGTTTTTTGTGCTTCTTGTATTACTTTTTATTTGTTTACAAGAAAATAAGAAAATGCTGCCGCCAAAGTACCTTTTATTTTATTTTTTTGCCAAGAAATACTTTATTAATTTTTTTTTACAAGAAAAAAAAGAAGATTGTGTATTACCTTTTTTAAGTAAAACGTATTTTTTCGTTTTATTTTTTTGTTGATATTATTTTCTTCTTGTTATTTTTTTTGACTCGTTTTATTTTTTTGTTGATAATATTTTCTTCTTTTTAAAGACAATAATTTTGTTTGAAGACAAAATAAAAATGGAAGATAGCGTCTCCTAGGAAGAACCGTAAATGATAACCACGGCAACCCCATCGTAGGTTGTTGAATAACTCTATATAATAATATTTATAGTGAATAACGTTTCAACGCTATATCACTCGGTTCAAATCCCACATCGAAGAATTAGACAAACTTTGAAAGCTATAAATACCTCTTCAATACCCCTACCATCAAAGTATCAAGAAAAAGGGCCGAAGTACACCTACAGTCCATATTTTTAAACTAAATTACCAAAATATCTTCTTCCAGTGACTCACCGACCTATGACATCATAGTTCATTTAGAATCGCGATTTATGATGTCATATGAAAGATTTACGGTTCAAAATCAGCGATTCTCTTCTAGAACCAGACGATTGCTGGTATTACACAAGAATCGACACGGGGTGACCGATTCCCTCGTCGACTTGGCGAGTCCATTGCGACTCACCGATTTGCTGATTTTTAAAACACTGCTTGAAACTAAGGAACAATTCTTTCTTCGTTGCAATCTGTTTGAGACTATGCTTGCTATTACAGTGCAAATTGGCTTCACCTTGTTTTACAGAGAAAGTTGAACAAAACACTAGTGTTTAATGGCCTCGTATCCTTGTAGGGAGAAAGAACTTGCTGCAGTGAAGATTAATCCTGCTGATGTTGACATCATTGCCAACGAATTGGAGGTTAACCTGCTTTTCCTCAAGGGGAAGAATTCAATGTGCACAATGACGTTTCCTTCAATGCTTTAACATCACCCCAGCCATCAGTTGTTGCCAAGTGATGTCTTGGATGATGTAAAAGATCTACACAAAACTTAGGGCACACATTGTACATGAACTTCCCTCAAATCATTCCCAATCTATTATTTCACATCTAACATATTGTTATCTTCTTCTAATCTAGTTGGACAAGAAAGTGGCTGAGAGAACATTAAGGGAGCACAAAGGTGATGCAGTTGCTGCAATTCGTTTCTTGCTTCGATGATACAGTTATTCACATCTGATTGTACCTCTTTGCTCATTCATAATCAGCGGGTAGTTTTCTGATAATGCTATAGAAACAGCTGAAGATATACTCCGTTTCCATGTACCCATGCGCTGTGCGCACATGAGAGAGAGATATTTGGAGTCCCTAAAGGACAGGTACACTATACAAGCAATGCGTATGGCATGCGTATAAAAGCAACCTCATCCTCTACCATTGTTTGAGAATGAGAGGATTAGCTGCACTGCCATTGTTTGAGAATGAGAGGGTCACCTGCACTGCCATTGTTTGAGAATGAGAGGATTACCTGCACCGTTCATTCTCAATAATAATGGACCTCAAATGGAGGCGCATATTTTGGTATGCTCTCATTCCAAGTAATCTGGTCATAGAATTATGTTAGCACATTGAGTATTTGCCCTTATGGGAAGCCTTTTGAGTTCTCCCCTTAATCCAAAAAAGGAGAGAATGCGACGAGGCAGCAATTGTTTGAACAAGGCAAGTTTAGTTAAAAAGATGCTTTTTAAATATAAGTAGAGTGGTGGAAGATATCATTGAGGAGCCATGGCTTATTATCAAAACGACTGAACTTTTATCTAGACAAACATTCCTTTGGCATTCCATTTTATGTGGCCACATTTTCATGTCCCATGTTTCTGGACTAAAACCATAACTTAATGGTCCATTGCCATGTCTTAAAATGCAGATGGACTGTTCAGCCACAAATTCTTGTTGGATTGTAGGATTGACTTGAATTGGGTATGACCGGTATGAATTGGTGATCTAAAAATATATATAAAGTAAATAAATAAATCACAATCATAATAAGAGTATTCAAAGGGACTTAAGAAAACATTATACAAGTTTAAAAAAAGGAAAAAAAGCCGTAAATAAGAGGGTAGCTGGGTTGGGGCGTGGGGGGTCGGGGGTTAGGGGGAAATTAAATTTTAAGAAACATGAATAAGAAATCAGCTCGCAATGTAGATAATTAAGTACTCATCAATATTAATGCTCTATGCTGGTGCTCAAAGGTGCTGTATCCAAATGTGCCATGATTAAGTGGCAGATATAATAAAGAGCAATAGTTTTAAGGTATTTAAAAATGCATTTAAAAAGTGATTTTTGAAAATGGTAGTATTCAGCAATATTTTATGGGCAAGTATAGAACGATAATACTTTTTTATTTGGGACCGGGGGTCGGGGTCGTGGGGTAGGGGAATTTGGGTCGGGGGGTATTTACGGGGGTAAAGTTAAATTCGTTAAGGTAAACGTAGTGA